CGTTGTCGCTCACCACAACCAGAGGAATGCCATGCCTGGCAAAAATTGACTTCATCTGCTGTATCACACATGCACTTGAAGGGTTAGACAGTAGGGCTATTTCTGGAAAACTCGAAAAGTAATCCACTACCAGCAAGTACTCTTTACCATGGAAATGAAACAGATCGGTACCTACTTTCTGCCAAGGATGCTGAGGTAAGTCTGTTGTGATCATTGGTTCTCTTGCTTGTTTGTTTTGATGTTTCAGACAAACTTCACATGTGCTGACCATTTTCTCAATCTCAGAATTTATTCCAGGCCAATACACTGAATCCCTGGATCTCCTTTTGCATTTCTCCATTCCAAGATGTCCCTCGTGTATCCTGGAAAGCATCTCTTTTCTCAGCACTTGTGGAACAACGATTCTGTCCCGTCTCAGGAGAATGCCATCTGCTACACTGAGCTCAGCTCTAACATTGTAGAATTGCGGGCAGGAACTTTTGACCCAGACATTGTTCAGATTTTGAATAACAGCCTGGAGAACTGGATCTTTTGCTGTCTCCTCAGCTATTTGCTTGAGCTTTCGATCAGACACTGGAAGAGATTCAACAACAAGATTCACATGTGTGCTCACATCATCTTCCGTGGAACTCATATCTGAGGATTTGGATGTTAATGGTGCACGGGACAGTGCATCAGCTAGCACTATGTATTTTCCTGGTGTGTAGACTAATTCAAAGTCATACCGTTGCAGTCTCATCATTAGACGCTGAATGCGTGGAGACATTTGATTCAGATTCTTCTTGATGATCGCAATTAAAGGCTTGTGGTCCGTCTCTGCTGTGAACAATGATAAGCCATAGACATAGTCATGAAATTTCTCAAATCCAAAGACAAGTCCGAGACATTCTTTCTCGATCTGAGCATATCTGCACTCAGATTGTGTCATCGTCCTAGAGGCATAAGCAATCGGTTTCCAGCCGTCACCTTCTGCTTGGAGCAAGACTGCACCTAGACCATCTTTTGACGCATCCGTGGAGATTTTGATGCTCTTAGAGGAATCAAAGTAGGTGAGAACTGGTGCTCTTGTCAATATTGACTTGAGGACTTTCCATTCTTGCTCATGCTTACTTGTCCAGTTGAACTCATTTTTATGATTCAACAGCTCTCTGAGGGTCGCAGTTTTCGCAGAGAGGTTTGGAATGAATTTGCCGATGAAATTTACCATTCCCATTATCCTCAGCACACCTTTTTTGTCCACAGGACTCGGCATGTCCAGAATTGCCTGAATTTTGCTTTTGTCAGGTTCAACACCACATCCAGACAACTTGTCACCTAGAAATGTCATTTCAGTGACACCAAACAGACATTTAGCTCTGTTTAACTTGAGTCCATATTTCTGTACTCTTTGAAGTAGCTGGAAAAGTCTTTGATTGTGTTCCTGCAAAGTGGATCCCCAAACCACTAAGTCATCAACATATGCACGGACGCCCTCCAATCCTTCTATGATATGCTCCATGGCACGATGGAAGATTTCTGAGGCTGAAATTATGCCAAAGGGAAGACGAAGAAATGAATACCGTCCAAATGGTGTATTGAACGTGCAGTACTTGGTACTGTCTTCATGGAGCTTCAATTGCCAGAATCCCTGTGAAGCGTCCAGCTTGCTGAAATACTGTGCACCAGTCATTTCACTTGTGATCTCCTCACGTTTTGGAATCTGGTAGTGCTCCCTTTTTATGCTTGCATTCAAGTCTCGAGGATCCATGCATACTCTCAGATCACCATTTTTCTTTTTTACACAGACCATCGAGTTCACCCAGTCTGTGGGTTCCTCCACTTTCTTAATGACTCCTAGAGCTGTCATCTTATCAAGCTCCTGTTTTAGTTTCTCTTTCAGTGGTGCGGAAATCCTTCTCGGAGCATGGACAACAGGGTGAGCATTGTCTTTGAGCTGAATTTTATAGATAAATGGTAGAGCTCCCAGTCCCTTGAAAACATCATCAAATTTGCGAACAATGTTATTTGTACTTTCCTGCTGTGTTGCTGTGACACCATGACTATTGATGCAGTACACTCTCTTAACCAGTCCTAACTCCTCGCAGGCTTTGTCACCAAGGAGAGACTGAAGATTATCTGGAACTACAACAAAGAGCAGGTGATGAGTTTTGTTCTTTACACTTACTCTTAGCCTGCACACACCTTGAGTCTTTATGTCCTGTCCATTGTAGGTTTTGAGCGACACAGCGTTTCTTTTTATCTGGGGCTTGATCTTCATTTCCTTTATGTCACTTATGCTTATGAGATTGGCCTTCGCTCCTGTATCAAGTTTAAGCGGCACAATGGTTCCATTGACTTGTAATGACACAATCCATTTGTCTTCAGATACACAGTTCACATCAGAGTCATTTTTTTCATTTTCTTCGTGTTTGTCCTGAACACTTTCTGTGTCACCATTGATCATGCCCACAAAGAAAGTGTCTGACAATTCTGTGTCATCCACAACATGCACAAATGTCGATTGCTTTGTTTTATTCTTTGAAAAGCACTGCTTAGCGAAGTGGTTCATGCCTTTGCATTTTGCACATTGCTTTCCATATGCTGGGCATTGTTTAGGTAGATGCTTTGAGCCACATCTTTTACAGCAGAATGAATCTGTGCATGTCTTTGGTACAGCTTTTTGACTCTGCCTTTTCATTTTATGAGTAACAGCGCCAACTACTGGACAGTCTGCACCCGTGGATCCTTTGTCGGTAAAAGTTCTTGAATGCAACAGAGCAATCTCACTCGCATGACAAATCTTAACAGCACCTTCAAATGTCAGCTCCGTTTCTCTGAGTAGTCTTTCTCTTACTTTCTTGTCATCAATGCCAAAAACAATTTGATCTCTGATCATTGATTCAGCCAAGACTCCGAAGTTGCATGTTTTTGCCTTTAGCTTTAAATCAGTCAAGAAGGAGTCAAAATTTTCTCCCTGAGATTGAATGCGTGTGCGAAACACATACCTTTCATAGGTTTCATTTTTTTTTGGTGAGCAGTGCTCGTCAAACTTCTTTATGACCTCGTCATATTTTTCTCTGTCCGCAGCGACCGCAAACGTAAAAGTATTGTATACTTCAATCGCCTGAGGTCCAGCAACTGTCAAGAGCAACGCTATTTTCCGTGAATCCGACTCATCACCGAGACCAACAGCTTGGATGTATAGCGCGAATTGCTGCTTGAAAGTCCGCCAGCTGCTATCAACACTCCCGGTGAGTTTCAGAGATTCCGGTGGTTTGATAGAATCCATCTCTGTTGTATCACAGGACAGTTCACTCCTGGTACCATGTGGTGTTTATTGATTAAACACTCCAAACAAATAAATGTTGGAACTGGCGTGTAGCCTCTTTATTCTTTAGAATCTTCCACGAACATGTGATTAGCTCTTTGTGCCACTTCCTAGAGTTTCTTCTTCTATTTACCATAGGGTATCTGTTAACTGTATGTTTGGTTTTACTGCCATCTAGCGGATAGACATAGGAAACACACCTAATCACCACAGAAGAGCCCCAAGAAGGCAAAGAAGCCAGCAGTCGCTAAGAAAGCAGCCAAGAGCCCTGAAAAGGCAAAGGCTGCTAAACCTAAAGCTGCAAAACCCAAAGCTGCCAAGCCTAAAAAGGCAGCGCCCAAAAAGAAATAAAGTCCAGTGTTTGTTCCTCAACGGCTCTTTTAAGAGCCACCCACTAACTCTGAATAAGAGCAAAACTCGTTTATATCAATGATGTGGAAGTAAGTGTTATATTTATCTCTTGGGCTCATTCATTCTGAACAAACAAGTCAAAACCGTTTTCAAGAAGACAACAAAGTAATGTTATCCATTATCGATATAAGAAATGTATTGTAAATGGCAAAAGAAAGAAAAGTCAAGAAGGTTCAGGTTCAGACAGTGATCACGTTAAATAAGTATCAAAAGAACATACACACACTGCTGGAGAATTGTGACAATACAAACAACCCACATTCAACGATATGGGCACTGATTAGATTACAATAGGAACATAATACTGAGCAATATCAGACAGACTGTGTGTGTGTGTGTGTGTGTGTGTGTGTGTGTGTGTGTGTGTGTGTGTGTGTGTGTGTGTTCTTCTTCTTCTTTGGAGTTTATCGGCAGCTTGCATCCATAAATGTTGCACTACCGCCATCTTCCGGATTTTTTTCCTATCATGTCCAGTTACATCATATTCTTTTCATCATACCTATTCTTGATAAATATAAAAAAAATACTTCTTCTTCTTTGTTCATTCTCCCCATTTTCCAGTATTTCCTTCATTCCTATCCCTATTGTTCCAACTATTCCTAACTCTTCCATCATACTTTTCCTCTGCTCTTCATATTGTCTGCACCTCAAAAACACATGCTCTATTGTTTCAGTAACCTGACCACAACCACAAAATCCAGTTGGGTGCTTCCCTATAATGTGTAGTGTTCCATTCAAATTACTGTGACCTATCCTTAATCTGGTCATAACTATTTCTTCTTTTCTATTCCCTCCCTTATTCTTCACCGCCCCAACTTTACTTTGTATAGCATATAAATGTCTCCCTTTAATTTCCATATCCCACTGATGTTGCCATTCTCCAATGGCTTCCTTCCATATTATACTCTTTCCTTCAGATTTTGATAACTTAATATTTTCTTCAATATTCTCTCTTTTCACAGCGTGTTTGGCTAACTTATCCACTCTCTCATTACCCGCAATGCCAATATGAGCAGGAATCCAAATCAATTGAATCTCACATCCTTTTTCCCTTATTCTTGTGTATATTATCAGTATTGAATACAGTAAATCCGTGTGTGTGTGTGTGAAAAGTGCAGCAATTTTGGGCGGGGTTGGACTTTCAGGGGGAAGTTCAGTGATTGGTTTGAATATTTACAGACTCTAAACCAATGGGCGAGTGGCACTCTCCTTTAAAGACAGTGTGTGGAGACTCACACTTCCATCATTGTTTATTACTTAATACTTTGATAACTAGCTGATAATGAGTGGAAGAGGCAAAACCGGCGGTAAAGCCCGAGCAAAGGCCAAGACTCGCTCCTCCAGGGCGGGACTGCAGTTCCCCGTCGGCCGTGTCCACAGGCTCCTTCGCAAGGGAAACTACGGCGAGCGCGTCGGTGCCGGAGCTCCTGTTTATCTGGCGGCGGTACTCGAGTATCTCACCGCTGAGATCCTGGAGCTGGCCGGAAACGCCGCTCGGGACAACAAGAAGACCCGCATCATCCCCCGTCACCTGCAGCTGGCGGTGCGTAATGACGAGGAGCTCAACAAACTTCTGGGCGGAGTGACCATCGCTCAGGGCGGCGTGCTGCCCAACATCCAGGCCGTGCTGTTGCCCAAGAAGACCGAGAAACCCGCCAAATCTAAGTAAAGGGATCACAGAGTCTTTTACTGAAACAAAGGCTCTTTTAAGAGCCACTTATTTTATCTGTCAACGAGCGCTTTTCTCTATTATTATTTACAAACAGTATTCTGTATTTAAATCGGACAACTTTGAATGCGACTCAATGTTTACGCGCACGCGCGTTGAAACCATAACAGTTCAAAAGGCCTTCAAACAAAATAGAATTATGTGACAATTTGAAGTATGCATTTTATATCATGAATTTAAAAATTGTGTAGTTCTATGACCCATGTATTACTTTTTTTTTCATTAAAAGAGAATATGAAAGCACTAAAATGGTAATATAAATGAAAGTTGGTAATGAAATTACGCCCAGTGACGTCGCAGTTTCGTTTGTCTGATTGGTCTCAGTCGTTACATCAGTGATGTATTTATTAGTATCAATAATATATGATTTTATTATGATAAATATACATCGCTGATGAATACCAAAACAAATCAGTAAACCATTGCATTGTTTTTATTGTGACAAATAAGTTAATTTTATTCAATAAATACAGTAACACTTTCTGTGCAGTCCATGCTTATAATGAATTATAGCACCATTTTTACTTATTTATAAGCAATATTACTATTCTATAAATATATTTATAAACACTCATTAAGACCTACTGCATTACAATATATAGTTACATCTTATGTATATATATATATAGTTACATACATACATATATAGTTACATCTTACATATATATAGTTACATCTATATTATTTTTTACAATTCTTTATAAGTCAAAAATTTGTTTTTAAATGCACGTGCTCATAATCCATTATATGCAGTTTTAATTATGCACTGACATTTCACAGGATCGTTAAATAGTTTGATTAAGCTAATCTTAAACCTTCTAATCTTAAAACATTTGACTGTTAAACAACTTAACTTTGCATTGGCTAACTTCCTGGGGCCCCGTGTGGGTTTTCTGTGGGCAAACCCACAGTGGGTTGCCCACAGTAAACCCTCATGCGGGCCCAAATGGGCAAAACTGCTATGGGCCCAGCTAGGGCTGTGCCATATCATACCGTCCACGATAATACCGGTATAAAATTTTACATAAAAAGTGTCATATCACGATATAGATGATATAGCTGTGCGAGGACGCGATATTGATGATATAGTGGCATGATGACGTATGGCGTTTACGTTACTTAGCTCGCGCACAACAGCACAGCAGCATGTCAGCTTCCGGATCAGATCAAGATTTAGTTCCTAAAAAGGGAGCTACTTCAATAGTATGAAAGTGGTTTGAGTACAGGAGGTCAGATCTCCAACAAAACACAATTTTTGTCAAATAATATGCATGAAAACTGTTAATGCTAAAAGTGGAAACACAACAAACTTGTTTCACCACGTCCCTACTTGCGTACATTCATTTTGCATGATTCGCCAAATCTTCCTTCAGAGTTTCCGCAGTTCTGGTACAACAGTCAACACGATTAAACTATTTCTAAGACGATTCAATGTTACTATTATTATATTTGATCTGTAGATAAAGGTCTTTTGTTTCGCATAAAACAACTTTATCTTGCTGGACTTTATTGCTTTAAATCATGTTTAATTTGGACTTCTCTGTACATGCTTTTAAGAGGTGAACCAAGGGAGGACCCCCTAAACCTGCATTATATGTCTAAAAGACAACAACGGTTTGACAGAAAAATATCAAAATTGAAAATACTGTGGAAACAAAGACACAAATCTTGGATCTTAGATGAGGTAAGATAAAACATACCAAATATTAATTTCAAAGTGAACTATCCCTTTATTGCAGCCTGCGAATCGACTATTAATGATCTAAGGGATTGTTTAGCAAGCATATCCACTTCTTCATTTTCTTTCGCACAAACATGTGCAGGAACCCAAACAAACCATACGCTCAAACCTTTATTATGCAATCTGTATATTATTTGGACATTATCTGTACATTCTCTCATACAGTCTAACTTATCACAAAGTCTCCTAAAATCTCTCTCTCTCCCACATCTTCAAAACATTATAATTCACAAAATGCAATGATTACAAATGATTATGTGTGTATACATGTAATGAAACAGATACATAATACTTCTGATTATGAATAGTAATACAAAGTAATAATAGTACTAAAAACAACATTAAATTAAGAGATTTTTAATCTTCAAACATGTTGTGTGTTATATTCATCTACCCACTGTAATCCCAATATAATGGCTACCAGTTCTACTGTATAAACTGAAAGATTATCTGTTGTTCTTTTCTTGATTTATTTTCCACATTGTGGGATGCACACTGCAGCACCTGAATGTCCTTTTCTTTGAACCATCTGTGAACATTATTTTATTAGGAAATTACTTTCTAAGTATCTTTGTACTAGCCTGGTTCAACCAGACTCTAGTACATTTCATGAAATTGAGCGGAAGTGCGTAGGAGGGCACAGCCAGGCAATCTTTGTACAACAAACCAGACAGGTATTTGGCAGGTATCATTGGCAGTATAAACATCCAAGGAGAGATATTTGAATATCTGACAGTAGGACAATTTCGTATACTATTCAAACACATTTATCTTGCTTTTTTATTCACAACCCATCCAAAACTTCTAAAATAAGATTTACTATGTTCCCAACACTCCTGTGTAGTCTTTGCAGAAATGTATGTTCTTGCAGGTTTACCCAATATGCTAGTATTAGTGTAAGTCTTCTGATACCCAACGGCATCTGCCGCAACTGGAGATGTTTTAAAACCCCACTACATATTCTTAGGGCTTGAGATTTTTTTTAATATTTTTTAAGAATCAGTTTCAGTGAAATAAATTGCACAAATTGCAAAATGAAACAAAGGTTAGGGTTAAATCACATGTGCTCTAACTATATTTTGGGGGAGGTGTGTGTGTCATGTGACGCAGAGCTGGTTTCTGTCAGGTCCTGTAAGCACATGTAAAAGACTTCCTAGTATCACACATAATACACATCAGTGGCCTTTCGTTCGTCGATTGTAACGGTCAGTGTTAATCATGTCTGGAAGAGGCAAAGGCGGTAAGGGACTCGGGAAAGGAGGCGCAAAGCGTCATCGTAAAGTTTTGCGCGATAACATCCAGGGAATCACCAAACCCGCCATTCGTCGTCTGGCTCGCCGCGGCGGCGTCAAGCGCATCTCCGGTCTGATCTACGAGGAGACCCGCGGGGTGTTGAAGGTGTTTCTGGAGAACGTGATCCGCGATGCCGTCACCTACACCGAGCACGCCAAGAGAAAGACCGTCACCGCCATGGATGTTGTGTACGCGCTGAAGAGACAGGGACGCACCCTGTACGGCTTCGGGGGATAAACGCCTGAAACCAGGACAAACCACACAAACCCAAAGGCTCTTTTAAGAGCCACACACTCTGACACATAAAGAGTCAATGTTTCATGTCAAATCAAAGAACTTAAGTTTCAGGAGTTTTGGTTTTTTCAATTACGGTTACATTTCATTTAAGAACTCGTAAATGTTTTACAGTAATGGATCGAGAATATCGATACTTTTGATACAATTCACCCATTTAAGCCGTTTTGTTGTAAACGTTAATCCTTTCCACAAAATCAACAAGAAAAACAAGATAAAATAGTACCAGCTAGCAAATGAGAATGCAGAAACGAAGATATTTCTGTTTTTAAACATCTAACCAATGACTTTTTTAAAGTGTATTTGACCATTATTGGTCTGTTATCTCGAAAACTCGCTCAATAGGTTTATTACAAGTTGTAAAATTATACGATCATGCACAATATTAGAACCGCTTATTTTCCTCAAAAATTATTACTAAATAAAAAGAGCGGGAAACCAAACAAATGAAACTTGGCGGAAGTGTGTAGTTCAAACATGAGACGGTGGGCGGAACTATATCCTATCCACACCTGTGATTGGCCCGCGTTCCTTTCAAGCTGCCCAATGAAATGTGAGTTTGTGGGTTTGGTCTATGAAAACAGACAATCAGATAACTCCCTAACACTTTGAAAATTAGCATAGAGCAGTGAATAAATGCCTCTGTATCGCACTGTTGCTTACATTATCTCGTCAGTCTTGTGATATCGCATCATCATGCCTGAACCAGCAAAGTCCGCTCCTAAGAAGGGATCCAAAAAGGCCGTCACCAAGACCGCCGGTAAGGGAGGAAAGAAGCGCAGAAAGTCCAGGAAGGAGAGCTACGCCATCTATGTCTACAAAGTCCTGAAGCAGGTCCACCCTGACACCGGCATCTCCTCCAAGGCGATGGGCATCATGAACTCTTTCGTCAACGACATCTTCGAGCGCATCGCCGGTGAGTCGTCTCGCCTTGCGCACTACAACAAGCGCTCCACCATCACTTCCAGAGAGATCCAGACCGCCGTGCGTCTGTTGCTGCCCGGTGAGCTGGCCAAACACGCCGTGTCCGAGGGCACAAAGGCCGTCACCAAATACACCAGCTCGAAGTGAGGCGTGCCCGACTTCAACTACCCCAAAGGCTCTTTTAAGAGCCACACATCTTCTCAGATAAAGAGCTTTTGTTTGTTATCTAATGCTTTTAATTCTATGAGAACTTTGAGTGCGTTGATATAACACACTAATTTGGGTTTCTGAGGAGATTTAGGCTGAGCTCGTTTTATAATCCTAATCCACCCCTTTCAGTCTGTCGTATATTTTAAAAACACGTTTATCCTTTTCTTCCTTGCTCTATATAAATGGCCTAAACTACTGTCGGTATTTTATATCTTGTGTAAATCTCATCAGACACCAAACCGCGAGCTGTTCCTTACATATGAAAGTCACTCAACTGTTTTACCTTTACCTTTGTTTTTCTAATTTCATCAGCCATGTGTGCAGATACACGTTAAATACAAAAAACTTTTATTTCCATGTATTTACTATTCATGTATGAGTAAAATAACCCTTTTATAAACTACTACCAACTTTTCTTCCAATATATCAAGTAAAAATATTGTCTTTTATATGGAAGTAAAACAATGTTTTTACTTCAAAATTGGGGAAAACAAGTTGGTAGTAGTTTACAAAAGGGTAATTTTACTCAAACATAAATAGTAAATACATGGAAATAAAGTTTTTGCATTTAACTTGTATCTGCACGCATGGCTGATGAAATTAGAACAAAACAAATGTTTATAACGTTGTAGCCCCCAAACCGTATTCACTTTATAGCCCTTAATCCTGTAATTTTGGACAAATGTGGGCACAGAGGACTAAGGTGTGATCCTAATTTTTAGTTTTTAAGTTTTATTTTAACTTTTTATTTTAAGTTTTGTCTATCCATTTATCGTGTTTTTTTTTTTGGCGGTATTTTTTTATTTATTTCATTGAAAAAGTACCAGATTTTCTATGTAAATTATGCTTATTTTTGTTTTATTTATTGTTTTTTAACGACATTAAACTTCTCAGAGCTAAAACCTAAAGATGAAGTGACTTTTCTGTCACCAGAGGGTTGTTCCATAAAACAAGATTAGAAAATAATTCAGGCTTATTTTGGTTAGTCAAACTTATTGTCGGTGAATTCTGTTTCATAAAGCAAACTTAAAATAGTTCAAACTCAGTTACCCTGGAAACTTATGCTGGGAAACTAGCCTGGTCCGGGGCAGGCTAAGTCTGAGTTCAGGCTTAACGAGCATACAATTTATACTCACCTGCTGGTATTTCGATGTCATTTTATTTTACTTAACCACTATTAATGCATTTTTTTTTAAATGAATAAGGAAATGTACTTTACTAATAAATGTAAGAAATTATTAGGTATAAATGCGCTAAGAAATGTTAAAAACTTGTGTATTTAATTGGTGAGTTTGTTTAATGAGTTTGGTAATTAATGAAGTATATAAATAGGGAGCTGAACTTGTTTCCAAACTTAACCATGGCGGGTCCTTTCATAGATGAGGTGTTGGATGAGAGAGATAAGATATAGTTCCGCCCACCGTCTCATGTTTGAACTACACACTTCCGCCAAGTTTCATTTGTTTCGCTTCCCGCTCTTTTTATTTAGTAATATTTTTTAAGGAATTTAAGTAATTTTTGAGGAAAACAAGCGGTTCTAATATTGTGCATGATCGTGTAATTGTAAAACTTCTAATAAACCCATTGAGCGAGTTTTGGAGAAAACAGACCAATAATGGTCAGTCAGATACACTTTAAAAACGTCATTGGTTAGATGTTTAAACGCAGAAATATATATATCTGCAATCATATTTCGGCTGATACCATTTTATCCTATTACTTGTTTTTCTTGTTGATTATGTGGAAAAGATTAACGTTTAAAAAACGGTTTAAATTATATTAAAAGTAGAAAGGTATTCTCGATCCATTACTGTGAAACATTTACGAGTTCTTAAATGAGATGTAATCTAATCTTGATTGAGAACACAGAACTTCTGAAACTTAAGTTCTTTGATTTGACATGAAACATTGACTCTTTATGTGTCAGAGTGTGTGGCTCTTAAAAGAGCCTTTGGGTTTGTGTGGTTTGTCCTGGTTTCAGGCGTTTATCCCCCGAAGCCGTACAGGGTGCGTCCCTGTCTCTTCAGCGCGTACACAACATCCATGGCGGTGACGGTCTTTCTCTTGGCGTGCTCGGTGTAGGTGACGGCATCGCGGATCACGTTCTCCAGAAACACCTTCAACACTCCGCGGGTCTCCTCGTAGATCAGACCGGAGATGCGCTTGACGCCGCCGCGGCGAGCCAGACGACGAATGGCGGGTTTGGTGATTCCCTGGATGTTATCGCGCAAAACTTTACGGTGACGCTTGGCGCCTCCTTTCCCGAGTCCCTTACCGCCTTTGCCTCTTCCAGACATGTTTAACACTGAGCGCTTCAATCAACGAACGAAAGGATACAAATGAGTAATGATTGTATTACAAGGAAGTCTTTTACATGTGCTTACAGGACCTGACAGAAACCAGCACCGCGTCACTTGACTCACACCCCTCCCCCAAAATATAGTTAGACCACGTGTGATTTAATCACAACCCTAACCTTTGTTTCATTCTGCAATTTGTGTAATTTATTTCACAAAAGTGAAATTCTATGGATGCAATTATGTCTATCAGAGATTAGGAAAGGCTTGACAAATAAAGAAATTATAGCTGTCTTTCTTTTTTGATATCTAAAAGACATGATGATATGCTGTGGAAAGAAGTAATCCTCACAAAAACAAAATGAATTGGTTATAGGGGGTAGACTACAATTGGGTATTAGACTTCTTGGTTGGTAGAACAATAGAAATAAAGGTGGGTAAGGAGTATTCTAGAATGCACTTTGTAGAAAACAGAACACTGCAGGTAGTGTATGCAGTCCACTGATATTTAATATAAGGACAAATTATATTTTTGAACAAGTTGAACATGGTATAGGAAAATCATGCTGTGAATGATGGGGCCCTTTGGATTAGGGGTCGACATCTAGAATACATGGGATTTATGAAGAACTTGAGCAAGTTATGGTGATTCGATTTCTTGGAGTTTTATTTGATGGAAAGCTTACAGACAACACATTGATAAAATGAAAACAAAATGCAAGAAAATTCTGAATATATTGCGTTGCTTGTCAGAATGATGCCGTTGGGTATCAGAAGACTTAAACTAATGCTAACATATTGTGTAAACCTGCAAGAACATAATGAATCCCTTCCTGCAAAGACTACACAGGAGTGTTGGGAACATAATAAATCTCATTTGAGGAGTTTTGGATGGGTTGTAAATAAAAAAAGCAAGAGAAATGTATTTGAATAGTATACAATATTGTCCTAATGTCATATTTTTATCCCTCCTTCACTCTAAAAAATGCTGGGTTGTTTTAATCAAAATTTGGGTCAAATATGGACAAACCCAAATGTTGGGTTAAAAATGTAATTGGGTTAAACATTTAACCCAATGGCTGACCCAAAGATGGGTTAATTATAACTCATTTTTTAGAGTTATGCCAATGACTGATTTACAAATGCATGAGGAAATAAAAGATAATTCAAAGCTAATACCTAATAAAATAACGATTTCACAGATGGTTCAAAGAAAAGGACATACAGGTGCTGCAGTGTGCATCCCACAATGTGGAAAATGCATCAAGAAAAGAACAACAGATAATCTTTCAGTTTATACAGGAGAACTGGCAGCCATTATATTGGGATTACAGTGGGTAGATGAATATAACACACAACATGTTTCAGTTGCATCTGATAGTTTGGCACTCACAAGTATAAAATCAGGGAAATTATTCAGGCCTAAAATGCTAATTGAAATATATCAAATAATAAACAGATTACAAAATAAAGGTGTGAGTGTATGGTTTGTTTGGGTTCCTGCAGATGTTTGTGTGAAAGAAAATAAAGACGTGGATATGTTGGCTAAACAATCCTTTAAATCACCAACAGCTGATATGCAGGTTGCATTAAGTAAAACTGAGACATTTAAAAGATCACATTTTGGGATATCAATGATACAGGAAGACATTTGTATAGTATTCAAAGCTCTTTTGGCATGAAAAGGGAGATAAAATCAAAGTGAAGAAAGGATGACATACAGGGCTCAACAAGACACCTCATCTATTAGGTAGACATATAAATGGAGTGTGTTTATATTGCAATCAATCAGAATCTGTCCAACATGTGATGATGATTGTAATGAAAATGAAAGGAGGGAATTACAAGAAGTACTTGAAAAATTAAAACTAAACATTCTTGGAACAGCATTGAGGAAAATACATACAGTTAATGACAGTTTTGAAAGAAACAGGTCTGATGGAGCGAGTATAGAGGATTTTGCTAATTATACATTTATTATTATTTCCATTTTTTTCGCTCTTTTCCCCTACATTCTTCTGATCCACACTCCAGTTCAGTAGGTGACGGTAAAGCACCTAATAAGCGTTATCTTCTGTTTATGCCTGTGTTTGTGTTTGGGGTGGGGGGGGGGGGGGGGGGGGGGGGTAAGTTGTCACACTGTTCATAACTCCAACACTACAGGCTCTAATCTCAAAAATCAAATAGCCACTCTGTGTGACCTTCTTCTTTAGTCAACTTCCTGTTTACCTGTGTTCAAGATCCCTCTAATCTGAGGTTAGCACATTTTTCTTATTTTTCTGCTTAAAAAGTAAAAAAGAAAAAAAAAAAGAAAGAAAAAAGTGCACTTTACATTTTATCCAATACAGACTTGTTAGGTAATGAATGTTAAAAAATAATTGTTTTGCACAAAATAGAGGAGACAATAACAAGTCTTTTGATTCGTTGGCTAAAGTGGTATGTGGACCTTACCTTGAGATTTAGCCAACATTAACACATGTCAGTTGGGGGCAAGTCGTCATGTGACAACTTGCCCCTGTACAAATAAACACAGAACATGCTCAAAAAAATGTGATATTGTAGGCTAATTTATTTGTAATTGCAAAAAGGTTTTTGAAGGATGGAAGGAAGGAATCAACGAAACACAGAGCATGGCAGTACCTGACATAATGTTAAAGGCAGTCAGCCATGAAAGATTACCAGAGAAGAAATTGAAAGTCAGACAGCCATGCCAACAACAATGGTTGGTTATACAAAGCCAAGGAATATTTTATCACCTGATTTGGAAAAGCAGCTTGCTTAGTATATTATCTGGTCAGCTGACATTTATTTTGGTTTGATGCCAAGTGAGGTCAGAGAGCTTGCGTACCAGTTTGCTGTGGCACACCAGCTGAAGAAAAAGGCCAGAAAGAGTGGTTTACAGGCTTCATAAAGCGGCATTCAATGCTGTCACTGAGGCCCCGTCCACACTACTGCGTTTTCGTTTAAAAACGGAGACCTTTTGCTACGTTTGCACCTCCCGTCCACACTAAAACGGGAAAAACGAAGACCTAAAACGGAGAAGTTTAGAAACGCTGCAGCTGCGTTTTGCGTTTTGA